ACCCCAAAACCCCTAAACCCCTAAACCCTAAAACCCCTTAACCCTAAAACCCCTTAACCCCTAACCCCCTAAACCCCTAAACCCCTAAACCCTAAACCCCCTAAGCCCCTAAACCCTAAACCCCCTGAACCCCTAAACCCTGAACCATTCTATAATGAACCCTAAACCCCTAAACCCCTAAACGTATTCATGGACCTGAACCCCTAAAGCCCTAAACGCCCAAAACCCTAAAGCCCCTAAACCCTAAACCCCTAAACCCTAAACCCCCAAACCCCTAAATCCAAAAATACCGACATCCGAAGCCTCCCGGTCCTAAAGCCCCTAAACCCCTAACCCTAAACCCTAAGCCCTAAACCCTAAACCCCAAACCCAAAACCCCCAAACGCCTAAAACCCCCCAAACCCGTCTAACCCCTAAACTTAAACAGACCTACATCCGACTTAAAAAGAAACCCTAAAACCCCTAAACCACTTAAAGAGTATCTGCACTTCAAGACACCCTAAATCCCTGAACCCTTTAAGGGGTCTCCCTCATACTACCTAAACCCTAAACCCTAAACCCTTTAAGGGGTCACCCTCATACTACCTAAACCCTAAACCCTAAACCCCTAAAGATGGATCCGTGCCGAGGACTGAGGCGGCAGCCCAAGTGCAGCTGCCAGGCCGCTCCGCCTTCGTCCTATAGGGATTTAGGGAGACCCCTTAAAGGATTCAGGGGCTTCGGGTTCAGGGTTTAGGGTTTAGGGTTTAGGGTTTAGGGTTTAGGGCCGGTTTAGGGTTTAGGGTTTAGGGTTTTAGGGGTTTAAGGGTTTATAGGGTTTCTAGGGTTTTTAGGGTTCAGGGTTTGGGTTTAGGGTTTAGGGTTTAGGGTTTAGGGTTTAGGGGTTTAGGGGTTTAGGGTTTTAGGGTTTAGGGTGTAGAGTTTAGGGCCGGCTTAGGGTTTAAGGTTTAGGGGTTTAGGGGTTTAAGGGTTTAGGGGTTTAGGGGTTTAGGGTTTAGGGGCTTTGGGGCTTTGGGGGGTTTGGGTTTAGGGTTTAGGGTTTAGGATGTTAGCGGTTTAGGGGCTTTCGGGGGTTCGAGTTTAGGGTTTAGGGTTTATTATAGAAGCCAAAATAATTGCCATGATTCAGGCCCCGACATCAGGGTTGGTCAGAGCCTATGGTCTAGACCATTAGAATTGATGCTTTGCAGGGTGTGTTTGTTTGTTTTTCGTTTGTGGTTTTTGGTCCTGTGACAGATTTGAGAGCAATGGTCGTCATCGCCGTCGCCGTAGTCGTAGTCATGTTATTATAGTGGCAGGAGGATGAGGAACGTAGTAGGGGAGTACGGGTAGTAGTACATATAGGCTTCACAGTCGGCATCAGCCTTGACTTTGCAGGAAACAAACCCAGCAGTACATAAGTCATGAGTTGTCGCATAGCACAAATGTAGCGCCCAAGGCTTCGGGGATCGAGATGTCCTGAATAATATGAGGTGCAGGGCTCAAGGTTGGTTCAGGTGTTCTATTTGTCTTCAAGGTGTTCATGACCTGTTTTGCTTCAAGGGCGGTTATAGTCGGAACCAGGGCAAGCCTGCATCGGTGGTAGAATCTTGAGACCGTTTTGTGAGATGCGTTGCCGTCACAATCGGAAACAAACAGAAACCTAAACCCTGAGCCCTAAACCTTAATCCCCTAACGGCCCCAACGCAACCCGCTGGCGGGTAAACCCAAAACCCCTTAAATAAAGGCCCCCTAATAATTAGAATAAGGTTTCGGGGTATAATATACTACAACTATAATAAGGAACTCCTCAAAACAAAGAGTATTGGTAATTCTTTAGGCCCCCTTTTTTATACCCTCAACCCGAAGCTTGGTACCAGGGATCTCCGGCAGCGATGGCATCGCAGAAGGGACCACGCCACCGCCCAAGGCAGAGCCCTTTTCGGTAGCATTTTGTCTGTGGGGCCTTTGGGGGAGTAGGGAAGCCTTCAGTCCGAGATTGTGCAGATGTTGAGGGGTAAGTGTGACGTGTAGGGTTTAGGGTTTAGGTTAGGGGGATGTGGTTTAGATTGTGTTGTCACTAGGAACCTCCCAACCATAAAAGACGGTTGGAGATGCTCCACCTGTGTTTCGAGGCCTCGATATTGAAGATGAGTGTGGCTAGGAAGCCTGGTAAGATAGCGGGGCGTAGCGCTAACAGGTTTGCATTACCACCCTAAGCCCTAAACCCCTAAACCCTGAAACCCTAGTATATCGCCGCTGTTTTACCCGGAGATGATTCGAGGAGTGGAACTAAAAGCCGCCCCGAGCCCAAGTTCGGATCCTTCCCAACGGAGGTTTCCGTTTCAGGCATGCTTGAACCCTGAGTTCAGGACGTGTTCAAGGTAATATAGCTCGAGGGGTCTTAATGCCTGGAATCAGGGTAATTTGAAACTGGTGAAACTGGAACACTTGCAGCTCTATCCCCAGACTCCTGCGCTCTGAAGCCCCGGGTCCGCAAGCACTCGTAAGCCCATTATAAACCTGTAAGAGCCTTAAAACCTAAACCCGAAAAAGACATACCAGGGCCACAGAATGAACACGGCACAACCCCGGACGAACCATGAACGACTACAGAAGTTCGTGCTGGACACGTGCTCTATTTGCTGTATTGGCAAATAGGTTTCCAGAAGGTTAAGGCCAACCTAGATTAGCACAACGAAGGAAGCCCCTTAAGCTCCTAAACCTCTGAACCCCAAACCCTACACCCTAACACAATGGAGGAAGCAGGGTTTTACATAGAGTTTAAGGTTTAGGGGTTTAGGGTTTAGGGTTTAGGGAACCCTAAACCCTAGCACCACGGAAGGAAGCCTGATCTGTCTGGTGCTTAGTAGGGAATGGGGGAATGGATCCCAATGATAGTCCCTTAAGGTCCCTTATAGTAGCCCCTATAACCCATTCCCCCATTCCCTACTAAGCACCGGACAGTAATTCGGAACAGCCCCTAAACCCTAAACCCTAAACCCTAAACCCTAAACCCTAAACCCTAAGCACCGGACAGTAATTCGGAACAGCCCTCTGATAGATGCGGCCAACAGCTCCGGTGATCGGCGAGGCCTGAGGGCAGTCTGCTGAAAGCGCTTGTATCTAAGTCAAAAATTGCGTGTAACTATATAATTTTAGGGTTTAGGGTTTAGGGTTTAGGGTTTAGGGTTTAGGGTTTAGTATATATATATATATATGATATTTTATTTGTCTAATGCAAGAGCGAGATAGCAATAACGAGAAAAACAATACTAAGAGTAATAATAATGAAAACAACAATAGTAATAGCAGAAATCAATTCCAGCATTGATTAAACAGACCCCTCTACTAATGAAGCGAAACCACGTTCCGGGAGACTCCTCTGACATCATCCTTTCCTTCTGAAACCTATTCAGAGTTAGGGGGATGTAACCCTACGGGTCCATGTGCCCAAATAGCATTGACTTTGGCTTTAATGTAGTCCCTATTTAGGTACTTTGGGCCCAAATGTATATAGTATTTTTGTACGTGGACCCTGGTAAGAGCAAGAGCAGGCAGAAGGGCACAAATCCTTGACACATCCCAAGTCTTAAGAGGTTTGCAGTGCTAAACCTAGGCGGCGGCAGTGTTTTGGCGCAGACTCCGAGCGAAACTTTGTCAAACCTTACATTTCATGCAGAACCCGGCCAAGGCTTATATATGCTTGTGACAACGTGTCTTGTTCCGCATCCTTGCGCAGTATGTTGTACAACAACGCAAAAGCGTTGTAAATACCAGCGTTCGGGGCATGGTTGCCACATGCATGGATGCTTGTGACAACGTGTCTTGTTCCGCATCCTTGCACAGTATGTTGTACAAAAACGCAAAAGTGTTGTAAATACCAGCGTTCTGGGCATGGTTGCCACATGCATGGATGCTAGTGACAACGTGTCTTGTTCCACATCGTTGCACAGCATGTTGTAACAAAAGGGCAAGAGCGCTGTAAATACCAGCGTTGCATGGTCGCCACAGGCATGTGTGACAACGTGTCTTCTTCCACATCCTTGCGCAGTATGTTGTACAAAGAGGCAAAAGCGCTGTTGATACCAGTGTCTTGGGCATGGACGCAATATGAATATAACATTTTCCCCCTTTCCCCACCCGCCCAAATAGAAAACAAAAACAATTGAAAGTAACAAGTGGCTGAAACGCAGGGCGCGTCAGGGGTGCCGTCACCAAAACTCACCCGACTGATGAACAAAAAGCACGTTTCGAGTTGTTATTGGGGATCCCCCCGTTTAATATTAGGGGGAAGTGGCTAAATAATAACAATGGTAAGAGCATGAGTTTAACACTAGTAGTCATGATAGTAATCATAGCAAAAGCACCTCAGAACGCAAAAGAAGTAATCGAAATACTCCGGCCGGGATCGTATCAGTGTTCGGGTCTTTAGAGTTTTGAGGGACCCTAAACCCTAAAGCTTAGACCGAGACCCTCACCCCTAAACCCTAAAACTCTAAACCCTAAACCCTAAACCCTAACCCTAAACCCTACACCCCTAAACCCAGAAGTTCAGGGCTTTGGGATCCAGGGCTCTTGGTTTGACGGGTTGAAGATCTACTTGGGTTTTAGAGATAACCCCTGGCGGCCTCAGAGGACTTACAGAAGCTTAGAGTTTTGGTAAGCCTACAATGCTTAAGTTTAAAAGCTACATGTATAGAACTTGTGCAATCTTTTCGGCCAGAACTCAGGGACCCAAACCCTACACGAGTTCTATAAACCCTCATAAAGCCTAAACCTCAACCCTAACCCCTCAACACCACATCCACGCTTTTGATACGGCCAGCGCAGGGTCCACGAGTCGAGCAGCTTTGAGGCTAAACGTGGTGAGCATGGGTTTAGGGTTTAGGGTTTAGGGTTGGGTGTTTATAGGTTGGTTTGACCGATGTTTATTCGGAATCTACGCGGGAGGGTGTAGGGCATTTGATCGTTGTCTGACAGCGTGTTTTGGTACATGTCTACGTGGGTTTATCAGGGAGTGGATCCTTGATATGTTAGTTATAGGGGGGTATGACATCTGTTTACAAGGTTTAGTTGGGGTTCCATGAGCTTTCGTAGGGATTTTGCAGGGCTTCCTTGCGTTACAGCGGCCATCTGGGGCATTCTGGGGCCTTTTGGTGATTTGGTGTGGTCTATGGGGTTTACGAGATCTACTGCGGACCTTTGGCCTAAAGCTTTGAGAGCGGTGCCGTGTTTGCTTTCAGGCTTCGTGGTTGTGACAGTGGGTTTAGGGACAGTGTCCTGAGGCTCCAAGCAGTCGAAGGACTTTCCCAAAAGGGTGATACTTCATAGAAACCTTTACAGTCTACTATATAAGTACACAGGATCTCTGGGTTTGGAAGCCTCAGCCTGGCAACTTCATGCTTTGACGCTAAACCTAAGCCGCTGCCGGGCCTAGTACACAGGGTGCTTGAGAGGGCAGGACTAGGGCAGGAGTAAGACTTGTTACGAGTGTTATTTGATGATTTCGTTGTAAGTCTTCCATCAGGGTTTGGGTGTACTTAAAGGATCATGGGACTTAGTAAGTAGGGTTATAATTAGGGTAACTATACTTATAACTTATAACCCCAATTAAGGGACTTATAACCTTACTTACTAAGTCCCATGATCCTGCAAGTAAGGCTCTATCGTGGGATCAAGGTGCAGACAGAATGTGGTGTTGAGGCACAGAGGAGTTCGAGGTTTGTGGGGAGTATGGTAGCATTGCCATTCAGTTGTATTCCGCGTGGCCGCATGAATTGAGGCAAGCATCATTGCTGTTCATACCTGATGGCTTAATCTAAGCAAACAACTTATGATATACTCAAAATACAGAGGCAGCCGCCGCTAATACAAGCTATGAGGTTCTCAATGTCCTCCCAGCATCCCAGAGCGAGCTACGAAGAGGCCACTAGGCAACGAACGGCTTTCAATATGGGCGCATCGAGGTTGCCATCTTGACGCACCAGGTGTAGAAGAGGTTGAGAAGTTCAAACCCCGAACATACTAAGCTGTCTTGGAGTTCATCTTTGCATGGGCGTCTAGTTTGCTCGTGTTATTTGGCAGGCATCCTTGGCAGCCACGAGGTGTCTGGCTCTCAGATGACGTGCCCAAAAGCTCACTGGCAGAGGATGCGGATTGTGCAGGAAGTATGTGCCTTCCACAAACAGCAACTGCAAGGCACAGGAGCAGTGGATGAAGCTTCTCTCTCTCTCTCTACACATGCCATACTGGAAGTTGCAACATTGAGGAACAGTGAGTCCGCATTGCATCCTGTGCGAAGTCTAGCAGTCTGCAAAAAAGGGCAGATAGCTTGGTGCCACCATCCGGGGCGCTTGTTTCAAGAGACCGACAAACAGCAGGGAAGGCAAAGCCAACCTTCGCAAGCTGCCGCGAACACGCAGTTCAGAAACAAGAAGGCAGACGATTTAGGCTTCAGGGTGTTCATGACTATAGGGTTTGAGGTTCAAGACCTTTTACCATTTGCAAGGCAGGTACATAAGTGGCACGCCGTAGTCTCAAACTTCGGGCCTTGAGCTTGACCTGTTTCGCGCAGGATTCGGAGGTCTGAAGTAGGAAGTTCGCAGTAGCCCCCAACCCTGGTCATTCGATGAACAAGGTTGTGTGAGTAAAGCTCAGGTTAAGCATGAGAGCGATACCACCTCCACTACTTGAACACAAAAGTCATAGGTCTCCTCTGCCTCAAGCCCAGAAAGTCTTTGATCGCCAAGTCCAGACATTGGTTCATCGACACGCAGAAGCGGCCTTTGTGATGGCTCGATGCCGGGCTGAGGAAGAGCTTTAGTGCATGGAAACTAGGTGCGCGGAACACGTCAGCAATGTGCATCCAAATGGGAAGCTGTCAGTCCTCTGCAGGCAGGGCTCGGCACCACTTGGACACCATGGGCATGACCTAGAGGCTGTGATTGAAATCCGGTTTCGTGGAGCAGAAGCCATCCGGAGCACTCACCATGGACTCCTCTTCGTTTTGGGCGCAGTTAGCGGAGGCTGGTGGTTGGCTCTGTGTGTTTGCCGAGTGCCTTTCGAGACAGGCGATCCCTCTGGGATAGCACCAGAGAGTGTCGTCTGGCGGTGCACATGCATCTTTGTCTGTGTCTGTAAATATGAAAAGGTGTATAAATAAATATACAGAGAGAGAGAGACATGTGAATGTGTGCAAAAATTAGTTATCTTGGCACATATCTTAGTGTTCTCTTGTTATGAGATCACATGCATAGACGTGAATATCTGCCTTGTGTTTGTGCGAAGTCCCAGAGCATCACCGCGCTGCAGCTTCGAGTGTGGGTGTCTCACCATGCAAGTCATCCGACATCCTTCAGCACGCCTGAGTTTGGTAATTCGCCATATATGCAGTTATAAGTAGGGTTATAAGTCCTTTTTATGGGCTATAACTATAGTTACCCTATAATTATAACCCCGCTTATAACTACCCATGAACCTCCAAGTAATGATCGCTGCCAGATGTTCTGCTGCGGTGCACGTGCCCGAAGCCTCAGTTATGCCTTGAGTCGTGGAACTTATAATGTATAAAGCGTAAGGCACATCATGTCTGCGCACCTGGGCTTGGAATCGGTGCAGTGTTGTAGTGAATGCGCTTTCAGCCACGAGCCGTACTTGGTCCGAGACTACCTTCTTCGTTAACGAGCGATGCAGGTAGAACGAGAAAGCGTTAATGTGTTTCAAGGAATCAAGCATGCTTTCTAGTTCCTTCAGCTCAGGTTCATGAGTTCATATGCCCCAGAGTGTTAAGCTGTTATGTTGTTCTGTGTCCATGTTCTGCTTCCGGGTGCTTTGCCTTTCGATGTGCCAGTCCTGGGCGTCTGCTCTATCCTATGCCCAGCCTGCGCACGAAAGTCTGAGTCCCACACCCCCGAAACGAGAGTATACCACTGTGTTTTTCAACACCGACACCCACGACAAGAAGTCGAAGCTTCTTGTGTCCTGTGAGGCCGCTTTATGAACTCCAGCTTCCCAACTCCGAGCTCAGTGCTTCCCGGAAGCTCGTAAAGGTCAGAGAGCCCGTAAATCCCACACCCGCCTTATTCTGCCCTCGACATCCCCCTATAGGGCTCCATTTACTTAAACAATAGGTTACCAACCGTGTGAAATGTAACCCAGTAGCCGGGTTTTGGGGGTTTAGGATTTAGGGTGTGGGGGGCGTAGGGCTTATATAGTTAGCTAATTGGAGCTCGAGGCTCTAGGAAGTCCCATCACCCGGTCTTGGGAGACACTCTTCAGCCCTAAACCCTAAACCCTAAACCCTAAACCCTAAACCCTAAACTCAGGCAAAGCCCATTCCGGCGAATTCCGCCGGGACTTCTCCGTTTGTGGAGCCCGGCCCTCAGGGTTTAGCGTTTACCTGGACCCTAAAGAACCTACCTTTTTAGGGTTCCTTATCATGATTTCTTTATATGAGCCCTCAAAAAGGTAGGCTATTTGGGGTTAAGGTAGGGTTTATGGTCCTTGTGCGTCTTTAACAAGTCAGGGTTCAGGGTGGAGGGTTTCTTTTCGAGTTAGGAAGTCGGCTGTGTAGGGCTTACTACAGGAAACTTCGTTGCAAGAACATCTGAACCGTAAAACTCGCATTCCGACACGCCCGATTCTTCCGATCTTTTTATTTCTCTGCAGACATTAGACTTCTCTCAAAGGATGCTGCTGAATAATTGCCTATTTTATTTTGGGGGCTCCTTATTATAGTTATAGTATGAAGAACCCCAAAATCCTGTTCTAAGCATTTAGGCCCCTACATTAGACGTTTCGACGTACTATACTGCACTGTATATTTAATTCCAACCAGTTATAACATCCGAGAATGCAGTACTGCACGGTTTGGAGCCGAGCTGTTTGATGTCAAGCTACTTGGCTATATAGAGTTACCTCCCTGGAACATTTGAGACTCAGAAAGCTTGCTGCTACATGCTTGCGGCTTTCGAAGTTTATCGTGACGTTGGACTTCTAGGTGAGGTCCCGTCTGACTTGAATCGGATGTCAATGGTGTAAGCTTGTGCGGCACGCTCGGTGTTCCTGGTCGAAGGTCCCGATGGGAGGTCGGTTGCATCAGTTTGATGGGTGAGCTGGCTTCATGCTTGTAAGAATCATATATACTGGAAAACGCTCCTGCCAGGCCCGACGTGGAGCGGGGACCCAAGTGACCCAAGCATGCCGATAGTTATCCAACCCCAACGTTGGTTGGGCGGTCTGCCAGTTCTTAAGCGAGCTTGTAGAAAAGCAGAGCCTTCTTCGATGTAGACTGCGGGAACTATCCTGAATACAGACGTTTCAGTTACTTGGCTTCTGACCATCAGTTTGGTCTTGGTTCAGGGCCTGGCCCAAAGACTACATTGGCCAGGTTTCAGGGCGATGTTGGGGCAAGAGGGCCAATTGCATCAAGAAACCTTGAAGCCATGATATGGGGTGCATGACCCATCGACTTGTAAGGCGTGAGCGACAGAACCTCAAGCCCAAAACCCTCAAAATTAACATATCGCATCCGACAGCCTCACCACTTGGAGGTTCATGGGTAGTTATAAGTGGGGTTATAATCAGGGTATCTATAGTCATAACCCATATTAAGGGACTTATATACCTACTTATAACTACCCATGAACCTCCAAGCAAACATGGAAAAGGCCCTCAACCCCAGAATAGACCGCGACTCTTTCTTGTCGCTGCCCAGGCTTGGCACAGGTGAGGGCGTGGGGCCGGGGACCCTGCCGAAGCCAACTAAACGCGGGGTACCTTTCGGGGGGTAAGGTTACAGGGAGCCGTGGAGCTGCCTTTTTGCTCATCTCGACAGGACACGATCCCAACACGTC